CACAAGTTTATCCTTAAACCGCCTGAAATGCAATCTTCCCTTTTTATTTATTTATTTGTTATTTTTTGAGACAAGAGTGTCACTCTGTCCCCCAGGCTGAAATGCGGGGGTGCGATCTCGGCTCACTGCAACCTCCGCTTCTTGAGTTCAAGTGATTCTCCTGTCTTCGCCTCTTGAGTAGCTGGGATTACAGGTGCATGCCCCTATGCCTGGCTAATTTTTTTTTTTTTTTTTTTTTTTGAGATGGAGTTTTGCTCTTGTTGCCCAGGCTGGAGTGCAGTGGTGCGATCTCGGCTCACTGCAACTTCTGCCTCCTGGGTTCAAGCAATTCTTCTGCCTCAGCCTCTCGAGTAGCTGGGATTACAGGCACCCACCACTACACCCGGCTAATTTTGTTTTTTTGTTTGTTTGTTTTTTATTTTTGAGATGGAGTCTCGCTCTATTGCCCAGGCTGGAGTGCAGTGGCACAATCTTGGCTCACTGTAAGCCCCGCCTCCCAGGTTCACGCCATTCTCCTGCCTCAGCTGCCCAAATAGCTGGGACTACGGGTGCCTACTACCACACCCGGCTACCTTTTTGTATTTTTAACAGAGGCGGGGTTTCACCGTGTTAGCCAGGATGGTCTCAATCTCCTGACCTCGTGATCTGCCCACCTCGGCCTCCCAAAGTGCTGGGATTGCAGGCATGAGCCACCATGCCTGGCCTAATTTTGTAGTTTTTAGTAGAGATGGGGTTTCTCCATATTGGTCAGGCTGGTTTTGAACTCCTGACCTCAGGTGATCCGCCTACCTTGGCCTTTCAAAGTGCTGGGATTACAGGTGTGAGCCACCGCGCCTGGCCTTCATTTCTGTATTTTTAGTAGTCCTGATCTCAAATTATCTGCCCACCTCAGCCTCCCAAAGTGCTGGGATTACAGGCATGAGCCACCATGCCCAGTTCAATCTTCCTTTTAATATGCCCAGACACACGAGGTATGTGTGGCTGCATTTCATCCTGGCCTGCTGAAGCCTTTGATTCTACTGCACAAATCACAACTCTTGCTCTCCAGCCCTGTTGTGTAGCTTTTCGCTATCTGCTCTTTGTGTGTCGTGGAGCAGCAGCCTCCCTCCTGGCATAGAGCAGGCCTTGCAGAAGAGCTCCCTGTCCCAGCGCGTCTCCTCGCCACTGTATGCTAGAATGACACTGTGAGTCTCCCAGTTTGAGAACCATCTATTCCCCTGGAGGAATAAACCCTTAAGAGTCTCTTCTTTCTTGCCACTTTCAAGCAAACCAAGCATAATTTTTTCTTTTCTATTTTTTTTTTTTTTTTTTTTTGAGACAGGGTCTTACTCTGTTCCCCAGGCTGGAGTGTGGTGGCGTGAACTCAGCTCAATGCAACCTCCGCCTCCTGGGTTCTAGTGATTCTTGTGCCTCAGTCTTCTGACGACAGGGAGATTACAGCTGGGATTGCAGGCGTGAGCCACCATGCCTGGCTAATTTGTATATTTTTAGTAGAGACAGGCTCTCACCATGTTGGCCAGGCTGGTCTCAAACTCCTGACCTCAAGTGCCCGCCTTGGCCTCCCGAAGTGCTGGGATTACAGGCATGAGGCATCGTGCCCAGCCGTAAACCAAGCCTAAATGTATGCTGTTACAGTAACACAGAATTAACAAACACAGAATGGAAATATGATCCTCCCATTCCCTGTTTTGTGGTTTCATTTTTTTGAGGAGGGGTCTTGCTCTGCTACCCAGGCTGGAGTGCAATGGTGCAATCATAGCTCACTGGAGCTTTCAAACCCCTCCTGGGCTTAAGTGATCCTCCCACCTCAGCCTCCTGAATAGCTGAGATTACAGGTGTAACAGGTGTGCACCACCATGCCCAGCTAATTTAAATTTTTTTTAGAGATGGGGTCTCGTTATGTTGCCCATGCTAGTCTTGAACTCCTGGCCTCAAGTGATCCTTCTGCTTCAGCCTCCTGAGTAGCTGAGACTACAGGCATGTGCTGCCACATCAGAGCTTAAAAAAAAAAAAAAAAAAAAATTTGTTGTGACAGTCTTGCTATGTTGCCCGGGCTGGTCTTGAACTCCTGGACTCAAGCAATCCTCCCACCTCAGCTTCCCAAAGTGCCAGGATTATAGGCATGAGCCACTGTTCCTGAAATCCCCCAACCACATTTTTACTCAATAACTGCCACCACCTTCTCCAAAGGGACTTTTTATCCTAGCTGGGCACACATGGTGTATCCATGGATGCTGCCCTGGGCCCTCACTGGCAAAAACACAACACGCTCAAGGAAACAGAAAGAGCCTGGAGAAGCTACTGCCAGACTTTCCCGTCCTGGGACGATGGGACATTGTCCCCAGCCCCTGGCCCAGGACACCAACACGCCAGCCTGGAGAACCCGTGAGCTGATGGGACGTTCCCATTCTGCATCTGGACAAACTGAACACTGCTCTCCTGAGACTGTGAAAGGGGTCAGCTCAGTGACTTTGGGTCTGGCAGGCCTGGGGAGCCTCATGTCTGCCAACTGCAGCCAAACCCCATCTAACACCTTGCTGTCAAAAAAAAAAGGTGAAAAGAAAAGGGGCCTGGCGCGGTGGCTCATGCCTGTAATCCCAGCACTTTGGAAGGCTAAGGTGGCTGGATCACTTGAGGTCAGTAGATCAAGACCAGCCTGGCCAACATGGTGAAACCCCATCTCTGCTAAAAATACAAAAATTAGCCAGGCGTGGTGGCCGGCACCTGTAGTCTCAGCTACTCGAGAGGCTGAGTCAGGAGAATCATTTGAACCCAGGAGGCTGTGGTTGCAGTGAGCCAAGATCGCACCACTGCACTCCAGCCTGGGAGACAGAGGTGAGACTCTGTCTAAAGAAAAAAAAAAAGAAAAGAAATAGTGGCCAGGCATGGTGGCTCACGCTTGTAATCACTTTGGGAGGACCAGGCAGGAGATGGCTTGAGTCCAGGAGTTTGAGAACAGTCTGGGCAATGTGGCCAGACCCTCTCTCTAAAAAAATTAAATAAATAAATAAATAAATAAATAAATAAATAAATAAATAAATAAATAAATTAGCTGGGCATGGGCCGGGCGTGGTGGCTCATGCCTGTAATCCCAGCACTTTGGGAGGCCGAGGTGGGCGGATCACGAGGTCAGGAGATTGAGACCATCCTGGCTAACACGGTGAAACCCCGTCTCTACTAAAAAAAAATACAAAAAACTAGCCGGGCCAGGTGGCGGGCGCCTGTAGTCCCAGCTACTCGGGAGGCTGAGGCAGGAGAATGGCGTAAACCCGGGAGATGGAGCTTGCAGTGAGCTGAGATCCGGCCAATGCACTCCAGCCTGGGCGACAGAGTGAGACTCCATTTCAAAAAATATATAAAAATAAATAAATAAATAAATTAGCTGGGCATGGTGACACACACCTGTGGTCCCAGCTATTGGTGTGGCTGAGGCACAAGAGTCGCTTGATGGCAGTTCGGTGCTGCTCCTGCCCCTGGGTGCTGAGCAGGCCTGGCGCTGTCTCCTGTGGACCTGGTCGGGCCTTACCTCTTGAAGACAAACTGGATGCTATTGCTGGCCTTCAGAACCTTCTGGAACTTGGCGATCCCGAAGCAGTTGGACCTGTGGAGGGAGATGCCTTCACGCAGCTCCACCACCAACAGCTCCTCCGGGTGCATCAGAAACTTGGAGTACGGCACCTTGACGGGCTCCGAGATACCAATGGCCTTGGCTGCAGAGACATGGCTGCTGTAAGGCCACCCGGTGCCATGGGGCCAGAAGCCTCAACTCCTGTGTCCTGTGCCTATGTAGGGGGCAAAGCTGCCAGAACCCTTTTGAAGGCCTGCCAGCCTTCCTGGGAGGTGGGAAGAGTGGCCTCCCAGCTTGCAGGAAAGGACCCTGGAGCTCACAGGGCATGTGACTTGTCTGAGGTCACAGAGCCACTGAACAGCAGAGCCAGGGGATAAGAACTCAACCCATGCTTACCCCAAGGCCCACGCTGGGTCCATGCCCTCATGCCCAGGCAGCACAGAAGTCACCACTAATGGCTGCTGAGATTCGGCATTACCTCCCCCTAAGTCCACTTGACCTCACCCTTCCAGTAAGGCCCCTCCAGTGTCCCTCCTGCCACCACAGGCAACCCCACACGCTGGTGTGGCCCAACACCACGCCGTGGAATGAGCCTGATCTCTGCCACTGAGTAGTGTGGGGCCTTGGACGAGCCACATCCCTTTACCAGGTCTCAGTTCTCTTCATCTGTAAAGTGGGTCTTAAGACATGGGGATTTTGTGAGATGGGATACAACAACATGGGGGGCTGGGCACGGTGGCTCATGCCTATCATCCCTGCACTTTGGGAGGCAGAGGCGGGCGGATTGCTTGAGGTCAGGCGTTCAAGACCAGCTTGGCCAACGCAGTGAAGCCCTGTCTCTATCAAAAATACAAAAATTAGCTGGGTGTGGTGGCGGGCACCTATAATCCCAGCTACTCGGGAGAGTGAGGCAGGAGAATCGCTTGAACCTGGGAGGCAGAGGTTTCAGTGAGCCGACATTGTGCCACTGCACTCCAGCCTGGATGACAGAGTGAGACTCTGTCTCAAAACAAAAAAACAAAACAAAACAAAAAAACATGGGGAAGCACCTAGCCTCATGCCTGGCACACCACTGAGGTTATCTTATCTTATTCTTTTCTTTTTAAGGAGGGTCCCAGCTCCTCCCTTCTCTCCCTCCCTTGTCCCTGCCCAGAGAGCAGCTCGGATGGGAGCAGGCAAGGGGATGGGTCCAAAGTCCTTCTGCAAACAGGGCAGCTGGAGGGGGCCGGGATGCCCCCAGACCCCGTTCCACTTGTTGCTCACTGTAATGTGTGTTGACGAGCAGCTCCACCTGCTTCCGCAGGGGCCGGATCACATCACCGTGGCTGTCTGGAAGGCAAAAGGCAGTCTGTTGAGGCTCTTTGGTGGCAGCTTCTTGGCTGATGTTCCTGCTCTGCTGGTACCAAGATTGGCCCTGTGGTGGGATCTTGGAATGGGGGAAGGCTGGGGCGGTGGCGGTGGATAACTTATTTCCTCAGAAATGTCACACGCAGACAGATCCACAATTCCTGGGCTCACAATCTTGTTTGTGAAATCAAATCTAGGGCACCACCGGTCTAAATGAAGATTTGGAAGGTTCTGTGTACTAGCAGTGACCATGGGTCTTTCTAGGTGTGTGACTGAGTATAGTACGTGACTGAGAACTAGTGGGTACACACTAAGCCTGCGAATTGAGCACGCCGCCACCAGGTGGCAGTGGAACTGTGTTAAGACTTCCTGGTTCCTCCGGCCAGGCTGGGTTTGGGGAAGTGACAGTTCTCTCCTTTGACACTCACTCATTCCATTCCAGGGTACTCCACAGGTGAAACAGACCCACCCTCACCTTGGCCTCCCTCTCTCTCTGTCCTACTTCCATTCTCAGCAGGGTGGGAATTCTCATGTTCCTCAGAATGGGCGTGTCTGCTGGACACAGCCAATTTTGTGCTTTCAGGCCTCTATTCTACTTGTTCAGATAGAGGAGGCTCAGTTTCCAGTCTTAAAACCTTTGCGGAAGGCAGCAGGGTGTGTAATGAAAACAAAGCCTTGTAATTTCCCTTAGCAGTGGGAACCGCTCGCAGCTCTGACGAGGTACCTCCTAAAGACCTTCTGGAAGACGGGTCTTTAAATCTCCTCCCACCTCAGGCAGCCCACAGGACTCCCATCCCCAAACCAGGGTGCTGGAGAGAGATGGGCTGGAGAGAAGGAAGAGACCCCGAGGCCAAGGGGAGGTGGAGGGCAGGGGAGAAGAGATGGGGTGGGGGTGGGCATAAAATGTGGGGGGTAGACAGGGCCTCACCCTCCATGGGCCACTCCTCGGGCTAAGGGTCCTCACTTGGACCTTTGTCTAAAAGAGAACAGAGGACGCCGGGAAGCCACGTTCATCATCTCCTAAGCCACGCACTGCTGACGTCAGACCAGGGAGCTGGGGAATGGCAGGCCAGGGGGCCCCAACTCTGAAGCATGGCACCCACTCCAATGGGCTCAGAGACCCCGATTCCGTACAGGTGCCCACCCTGGCCTTCACACAGAAGCAGGCTGAGAACATTTTGCATGCACCTCCCAAGCTAGTCTGTTTTAGACACCGAGGACACGTGGGAACAAGACAAAGTCCTTGGCCAGGCATGGTGGCTCACGCTTGTCATCCCAGCACTTTGGGAGGCCGAGGTGGGAGGCCAGGAGTTCGAGACTAGCCTAGCCAACATCGGGAAACACCGTGTCTACTAAAAATACAAAAATTGGCCGGGCGTGGTGGTAGGCACCTGTAATCCCAGCTACTCGGGAGGCTGAGACAGGAGAATCACCTGAACCTGGGAGGTTCCGTCTTAAAAAAAAAATTCCAGGTGAGAACACGGGACAATTTGCTTAAAATTGTCATCACATGAGTTAGCACATAGAAAAAAAAACATACAAAAGGGTAGATACTAGGAATACTAGTGGTTGCCTGAGGAGGATGTGACCGGAGCTTTTTCCTTCACATGTTACATATTTTTTGTTTTGTTTTGCTTTGTTTTAAGAGACAGGGTCTTGCTCTGTTGCCCAGGCTGGAGTACAGTGGTGCAATCACAGCCCACTGCAGCCTTAACCTCTTGGGCTCAAGCAAATCTCCCACCTCAGCCTCCCGAATAGTTGGGACTACAGGTATGTACCACCACATCCAGTTAATTATTTTATTTTTTTGTAGAGATGGGATCTTGCTATGCTGCCCAGGCTGGTTGTAAACTCCTGGGATCAAGTGATCCACCTGCCTCAGTCTCCTCAGTAGCTGAAACTAGAGGCGTGCGTCACCACGGCTGGCTACTTTTAAAATTTTTTTGCAGAGAAAGGGTTTCGCCATGTTGCCCAAGCTGGTCTCAAACTCCTGGGCTCAAGTGATCCTCCCACGTTGGCCTCCCAAAGTGCTAGGATTACAGACATGAGCCACTGTACCTGCTCAATGTATTACACAGTTCTGTATCATTTAACTGTTTCATATCATACATGTGTAAACAGAAAAAGCACACACATGCAAAATCCTCTAATCCATGGTGGTCCTGGACATCTCAGAATTTTCTTTTTTTGTTGTTGTTTTGTTCTTTTTGAGACAGAGTCTCGCTCTGTCACCCAGGTTGGAGCACAGTGGTACAGTCTCAGCTCACTGCTACCTGCGCCTCCTGGGTTCAAGCGATTCTTCTGCCTCAGCCTCCCGAGTAGCTGGGATTACAGGCATGCACCACCATCAGAATTTTCTTTTTCTTTTTTCTAGACAGAGTTTCGCTCTTGTCACCCAGGCTGGAGTACAGTGGTGCGATCTTGGCTCACTGTAACCTCCGCCTCCTGGGTTCAAGTGATTCTCCTGCCTCAGCCTCCCAAATAGCAGGGATTAGAGGTGCATGCCATTATGCCCGGCTAATTTTGTATTTTTAGTGGAGACGGGGTTTTACCATGTTGGCCAGGCTGGTCTCGAACTCCTGACGTCAGGTGATCCACCCGCCTTGGCCTCCCAAAGTGCTGGGTTATAGGCGTGAGCTACCACACCCAGCCATAATTTTCTTAATTCATCGAGTTTGACTGGGGTGCCTGGGAAGGAGCCCTGCATGGGAAACGTGTTCCAGCCCAAGGCTGTGTGACCTGTGTGGGGAGGTGGCTGAGCCTGACTGAGCCTGTGTTCTGCTCTGTGAAACAAACAGCAATGGTGCTGTGCTCATCCAAGGTCCCCAGCCCCTGCAGTGCCACCCAGCCTCTGGCTGTGAGTGCTGCATGGAGGCTTCTATGGTGTTTTCTTATTTATTTATTTATTTTTTTTGAGACGGAGTCTCGTTCTGTCGCCCGGGCTGGAGTGCAGTGGCCGGATCTCAGCTCACTGCAAGCTCTGCCTCCCGGGTTTATGCCATTCTCCTGCCTCAGCCTCCCGAGTAGCTGGGACTACAGGCGCCTGCCCTCTCGCCCGGCTAGTTTTTTGTATTTTTTTAGTAGAGACGGGGTTTCACCGTGTCAGCCAGGATGGTCTCGATCTCGTGACCTCGTGATCCGCCCGTCTCGGCCTCCCAAAGTGCTGGGATTACAGGCTTGAGCCACCGCGCCCGGCCTTCTATGGTGTTTTCTAATGCCACTGCGAAACCCAGCTGGGTGTCATGTCAATTCCTTAGCCGCCACGCCATGCTGTCATCTCAGCCTGAGCTTGGCGTCAACCAAACTCTCTGGATAGCTACACCACAGACTGCTGTCAAGTCTAGTCATGCCCAGTTCGTGCTGGACAAAGCATAGTTTTTTTTCTTCATTACCAAAGTATTAGAAGTGCATCATAACTGATTTAGAAAATAAACGCAAATCAGTTTGCCTAGCACTGCTACTGTTTTGCCATACCCTTGTTTTTCCCCAGTGATTACATTTGAAACACAGTTGTAAGCAAAGCACAATCAAATTTTCTTCTTTTGCTTAGTGTTACATCCTAAGCATCCTTCCTTGTTGCCTATTTTTGTTTGTTTGTTTCTTTGTTTGTTTGTTTCTGAGATAGAGTTTCACTCTGTTGACCTGGCTGGAGTGCAGTGGCACGATCTCGGCTGCAAACTCCGCCTCCCAAGGTAGAGTGTACGGAAAAATGTACCTCCCTGATAAGCAAAAATTGTAACATTTCCAGAGAGCAATTCAGCACAGTATGTCGTGAGCCTTAAAAATCTTTTTAGGCTGGGAGTGGTGGTGGCTCATACCTGTAATCTCAGCACTTTGGGAGGCTGAGGCAGGAGGACCACTTGAGCTCAGGAGTTTAAGACCAGCCTGGGCAATATAGTGAGACCGCATCTCTACAAAAAATTTTTAAAAATATTATTTGGGCTTGGTGGTACACGCCTGTAGTTCTAGCTACTCAGAAGGCTGAGGTTGGAGGATTGCTTGCACAGCCCAGAAGGTTGAAGCTACAGTGAGCTGTGGTCACAGCACTGCACTCCAGTCTGAGTGACAGAGTGACTCTGCCTCAAAAAAAAAAAAAAAAAAAAATTTTACTTTTTGGCACACTAACTCCATTTCTAGACATCTATCCTAAGATAATAATAAAAAACATATAAAAAATGCACATACAAATATTGACTATAGGAATAAAAGATTTCATTGTTTACATTGTACAGGTGAATGTTTAAATTATGGTACACCCATTTGTGTTATTTATTTTTAAAAATTTTGAAGTATAACTATGTAGAAAACTGTCCTAGCATAATGTTAAGCATGGTTCCAAATGTGTTTCAAAATCTGATACAAAGCACACAGAAGGCAGGCAGGTGGGAAGGAAGGATGGGGGAAAGAAAGAAAGGAACAATGAAAAGAAGAAAAAGGAAGGAAGAAAGAAAGAAAGAAGAAGGAAAGGAAGGAAGGAAAGAAAAGAAAGAGAAAGAGAAAGGAAGGAAGGAAGATAGGGAGGGAAGAGGAAGGAAGGAAGATAGGGAGGGAAGAGGAAGGAAGGAATGAAGGGAGGAAGAGAGGAAAGGAGGGAAGAAAGAAAGAAGAAAGGAAGGAAAAAGGAAAGGAAAAAGAAAGAAAAATGAAAGAAAAGAAGCAAAGAAAGTAGGAAGGAGAGAAAAGGAAAGAAATAGGAAGGTAGTGAAGGAGGGAGGGAGGAAGGAAGGAAAGAAAAGAGAAAATGGGAAAAAAAGCAAAATCTTAGCAGTAGTTACCATTGGGTTTGAGGGATAGAGGTGCTTTTAATTTTCCTTTTTAATATTCTCTAAATTTGCTATAGGGGTAGAATCATCCCCTTCTGGCAGGTTCTGAGACTTGTCTGTCCTTACTGGAATAATGAGTTGAGCCTGATGCAGTGGCTCACGCCTGTAATTCTAGAACTTTGGGAGGCTGAGGCAGGTGGATCACAAGGTCAGGAGATTGAAACTATCCTGGCTAACATGATGAAACTCCATCTCTATTAAAAA